GATGTCCCAGGAGCCTCCCAGGAGGGGGACAGGAGCTCTTCTCCTGGCTTGGTGTGCAGCCTCCCCCTGCCCCCACTCAGGGGTTTGTAAATGGCAAATTCTCATTTGTTTCTTCTTCCTGAGCTGGGAAGACCTTATGGTTGTTCCAATCCTGAGGCTGTTGCAGAAGGAGCTGAGCAGACCTGACTCCTGAGTGCTCGGCTCAGAGACCTGTGCGGGACACGTGGTGCTCTGGAGAGTGCTGCCAGTGGCGATGGTGGCCAGGTTCTGATCTGACACAGCTGGGAGCTGTGATCCCAAATGGTGGTGGTGTCAAAACTGACGATTAAATGATGCACTGGCTGTTTCTCTCCCATGCATGTTCTTAAATAGGTCATATACCCTGCTTGAGAAAAACACGCCTCTCTAAACCTGGTTATGCCTCTGCCTCACAGTGACCACAGGCTTCTCTGAGAACCTGCAGGCGCTTTCTCTAGATGTTTCTCAAGACCTTTTCTAGCTGGGTTCCTAAAACAGATGCTGTTGTCTACAATTAGGGGTAGGTAAAGATTTCTACCCTCTGCCACTGTAGTGGCAGGGTATTATTTTCTTTCTTGAGCTTTTTTTTCTAGGGCTACATCTGGACCGCTCCTTTTCTTAGCCTTTATTTTTCTAGGAGCAGCCAGTTTGAATTTAGAGACTATACAAACTGTAAGTAAACTTAATGTCTTGTGAGGAGCGTGTACTAATGAGATGGAGAAGCAAAGGGGCTATAGAGATAAAAAGTGTAGTTTTTAGAGCAAGTGCTTACGATATGTTAGGAAGAAGCAAATGCTGGGAATATGCTCTAAATAATTAGCTGGGCACAAAGATCAGTTCAGGTGTGTCCTGGATGATGCACCAAGTTCCTCATAGACATTTTATAAACAGGAATTTATTGCACAAGGTATGGGGATGTTCTTGAGCTGGTCAGGCAGCACAGGTGTAAAGAAATGTGCTGGTTTTCCCCCATGTGAGCAACAAGAGAAGAAAGACTCAGTGGGCCACAGAAAGTTGACTGACACGATGTGAGTTAGGGGAATCAGTTTTCTACCCCTTTATGCCCATTTATTGTCCACCACCGTCCCTTTTTGAAGAAACCTGGTCCCTTTCGCTGCTGGAAGAAGGACATGAAGCCAGGTATGCAGCCTTTTTTCAGAGCCCTGGACATGCCCTTTGTGCTGTGTGCTATTGCCTCTCTCCGAGATTCGGTTGCCTTTCAGGTGTCCCTCAGGGCAGATGTGGGCTGTGAGTGTGGAGAACAAGACGGAAGAAATGGACCTATTGCATCAGTTGCAGTGATTTCTTTTCTAGCCTTTCTCAAAAGCTGTTAACTTAGCAATGACAGTGTTGCGGAAGAGGACAGTTTGTGCCACTTCCCATCATTGCTGAGCTGCAGAGAGCAGTTGTTTTGCTGTGTGTGTTTGTTGCCTCTTCATGGGTGTGTGGTGGTTGTATAAATCCTGATTTTTTGCTCTGCTCCTCACAGTAAGCCGTTTTCAGTCATTTTCTAGGTCTAATCCTGTCATACAGGAAGAGGATGTCCGTCAGGCCCCCTCTGGGGTTGGAAGGGGTGCCTGTCTTTTTTTTAAAGCAGGAAATTCTCTGACTGCAGGTTGTTATGCAGGAGCTTGTAAGCAGAGAGAAGACTGTGGCTGGTGTGACCTGCCTGAAGAGTCCTGTCACCTGTGCTGATGCCTCTGTGGCTGATGGCTTCAGCCTGTATGTCTACTCAGGACAGAAGAAACTCTGTTCAGTTAGGGGACAGCTAATATTTTAAGAGCTTCCTATCTTTTTGTGCGGGTTTTGGGTTTGTTTTTTTTTTTTTTTTTTCCAAGGAGAAATTTGGGGGATTCTGTGGCATGGTTTTACCATAGCTGTGTGTGTCTGTTTGCATAGCTGGGGCAGGAGCCTGAATCCCAGTGAAGGGAGCCAGAGGGCCTGACAGTATCCCAGGTACATTTGTGTGGTGGAGCAGAGCATCTCTGGCCCATCAGGCTCTCCTTGCAGTTGTTACTCCAAGCATCAGCCCAGCGCCTGTTCACTTCAGAGCCTGAGTTGAAGTGGTGTATAGGGTGCTGCGAGAGATGAAAATGTCCCTTGCTGCCACCCCCTCTTCCCCACTGTTTGGAAGTGGCTGTGCCAATAGTGATTTACGGCTGAAAACCTGCCCCCTTTGGTAGAGTCCTGCTGGTAGAACAAGGATCTCTCCGGCCTACTTGAATCACAGGTGTAGGGCTGGAGGGACTTCAAGAAGGCATCTAGTCTTTGCAGTGAAATAGCATCTACATCAGGTGTTTATTCTTTTTCTCAAAAGAAAAAAATGCATACAAACAGTGCTGGAGATTCTGCGTCATAGATAACCTGTTTTGGTGTATCACCGCTTTGGCACTGTGTGAATTTGTGTCTTCATACCCAGGCTGAATCTTGTCTACCTTTTGAGCTGATGCTGCAACGTGGAAGAAGAGTTGAGCACTTCCCCCCATTTCTTGTGACTTTTAATGTATGCAGACTGTTCTGTTCCCTTCAGTGTTATCTTTTTAAGACTAAACACACCCAGGTCCTTTAGTTGTTTTTTTCCAGGTCATGCTTTCTACACTATTTTTTGTTTCTTTCCACTGGAATGTGTCTGATTTTTGCATCTGTTTTATAAAGAAGAGTATGTGAGGCTGGGTGCGGTCTGCTAGCTGAAGTCCTGTTTGTGTGGAGTGGAACAACAGAATCACTGCTTCTGTGTCACACCTACAGTGGAGCTACTAATATGTCCTAGCATGTCATTTGCCTACTTTGTAGCAGGCTTATGTGGCTGGCTTGAAATTATTTTCTGAATCAATGTAATTCATGTATGCTTTTTCTTTTTTTTGGCACATTGGAGTTACTGTTTTGTCATGTCCATTTGATTTTTTTTTTTTCCTTGGTGTACTGTTTTGTACTAATCTTTACTGAGATTGGTTTGATAGTATGCTATAGGTAGGTCTAGGATTTCTGCAGCCAGGTCAAAAGACTGTAATAAGATGCCACAAAATCCTGAGCTGGTTTGAACTTGCTATGTTGAGGGATATTTTTTCTTGTCAAAAAAAAAAAAAAAGTGATGGGTTTGTTATGGGTCAGCAAAGTTTACACTTGATCAGACATTATCTTTGCCACAAAAAGTTTTAGTGGTTCTTCCACAGATAGCCAAGCTAGTGTCTTCATTTATTTCTTCTTGCATTCTCCCTGCTCCCTATGTCCATGGTCACTGTGCTTGGAGCTCAGTGTCCTCCTTTGTGGGAGCCATGGGAACCTGTCCTTTAATTTTCTTTTTAGTTGCTTACTGCAGCTGGGCCTTCCTCCTGCAGTGTTTTAGTTTAGGGACTGACATTGGAAAAAGGCCAAGCCTTTAAAAAAATAGTTTTTCCTGCTAGTTTGTTCTGACCCCACTCACTCACAGGGTCAGGCGTGAGCATGGGGACAGGATGCTTCATTAGGGGATGGGGCAGGGGGGGACAAGGGGCAACACTGCCCTTTTCAGCTGCAGTGAGCCCTTGGATTGGTTCCAGCACCCTGGATTTTGTCTTGATAATTTCAGACCCGTTTCTGTCTGGCTGTTACTTAATGCTTTGCTGTCTTTATCACTTTCTTATCTTATAGGTAACTGCAAACTGATCACTTAACTTGATCAAGAATCTTTCAGAGGATTGAAGTTACTGGTCTGTAACTTCTTAAGTCTTCTCCCACCTTTTTTTTTTCTTTTTATAAAGGTAGGTGAGGCATGGTGCTTCTCCAGCCTTCTGTGGCCTTCCCATATTCCTGTACATTTTCAAAGATGGTCACTAATGCTTCAGAGTTGACTTTGGTTTCTTATATGCTTTCAGGTGAATGTTTTCATTCTCTCTCAATCTGCAGCTGTCTTGTGAACATTTCTTAAGCAGTTCTTTTCTAACCTGCTCTTTTCTCCTTTTTCCAAACTAATTTTCCTTGTCACATCTCACTTTTTCTTCTGGAGACTGAAGGAGCATTTGTAGTTCAGCCTTTGTATTATTGCCTTCCTTTCCTATTTGCCAATGAGAGTGTAATTATCTTTATTTTCCTCTTCCAACATGCCTGCTTCTCTCCAGTTTTCATGTGACTGAAGAGTTCTTAGTAATAGCTGTGCTGATTTTGACTAAGAGACCATCTAACCCAGTATCCTTCTAGGAAAGAATAAAAATAGGACAAGTATATATGATATTTTCCATCTACTCTTCCAGCCTCTGGCTCCTTTCAGATAAGGGGATTTCCCAAGTCTAATGTGAGCTGTCTAACCATTAACAATCAATAGATTTGTCTTTCTAGTAATTGTCCTGTCTTTGTCAAATCCATGTAAAATTTTCCATCACTTTTGAAGAAGTACTACCCTACAAGTTACCTGCTGGTGAAGAGTCGCATTTGTTTGGTTTATTTTGAAGCTGACCCTCACTGGCTCCATGTGATGGCTGTTAGCACTTACGTCTGAAGAGATGGTGAATAATCTACCCTTGTTCACCGTCTTTATACCACTCATGATTTTACGGACCTCTGTTATGTTGCCTGTCTTGCATCCTAATTCGTTACATGGATGCTGTTCCATGGCAAAGAAAAGATTTATCTGGGTAGCATCTCTGGTCAATACCTTCCTCTGAAGCCTTGGGACACTGAAGGGCAAGGACAAGGGTATTTGGAGTCCTTGTCCAGTCCACCTGAGGGGAGATGCTGAAAGCCAGACTCTTTCTTAAGATGTCTCACGTGCAGTTTCATACACCTGATGATAAACAGCCTCTCTGTCCTTTATTGCTCTTTCGAAATCAGGAAGAGTTTCAGATGTTCCTTATGGGGATACATACCTGTGCTAAGATGCTGAGGGAGGGGATGGGGTGACCAAGGCCTTTCCTCTGGGATGGTGGGCGGGAGTCTTGGGCACTCTCTCAGAACTGCTCTCCCCTGCTCTTTTCAGAGATCGGCCAGCCTGGCTGAGACCACTTAGCGATGACAAAACAAAAGCTTCTGCTTGATGGGACACTCTCCTTGTTTCTGATTGTGGCCTGTGAAGCTCAGCAGGTTCCGAGAAGTCATGTTGCTGCTAGTTCTGGTCCTGTGTGTGAGAAGGAGGCAGAGTCCTGGGGAAACCTTTTTAGCAGTGAGCGGCTGGATGCCTGGATCTGTTCCCTCATCGGTTCGTTCATGGTGGGACTGAGTGGGGTCTTCCCCTTGCTGGTGATCCCATTTGAGACAGGAGCTGCTCTGCGGTCAGAAGGTAAGCCTGCTACCTCCATTAGTCTTTCTGAAGCCAGAAGTCCTGCATTGTGACTGAATAGCACAGTGATGAACAGGACCTTGTCACAGAAATACTGTTCTTTACAATAGACAGTCCGTTTCTGGTGCTTTATTCCATACCTGGAAATTTGATAGGGAGTCCTCAGACAAATGCAAGCCCTGGATAGAGCTTATACAAAGAGTATTGTTTGTTTTGCACCCTGCTTGGTCCAGGACCCTCCCACACACTGCTGTCCCAGCCGTGTGGTACAAGGGCTTTTTCTTGCACTCCAGCTGTTTGTTTTGTGCTCTCTCCTTTGAAATCTTGCTTTGCAGATGCTTCCAATTGAGGTCTTTCTGTGCAAAATCTCAGCTGGAGATGTTTTGGCTCCTGGCTGAGTTGTGATCAGTTTTTGTTTGTGGTTTTTTTTTTTTTTTTTTTTTTTTAGCTGGATCACACCGTTTGAAGCAGTTGTTGAGTTTTGCAATTGGTGGGCTACTGGGGAATGTGTTTCTCCACCTGCTTCCCGAAGCCTGGGCCTACACATGCAGTGCAACGACAGGTATGAAAGCCTTATGTGCCTAGAAGCAGTCTGTGTTATGCCTACTGCTACATTTTTTGAGTCCGTTTCATCTTGAAAACACAAGACCAGCCAGGCTGCGTCAGCCCAAAAACTGGGCTGGGCTGGTATTCTCTTTCAAACAATGTGCAAAAGAAAATGCATAGGCGAGGAAAAAAGAACAACAAAAACACATGTAATACTTAATCTTTGTACTCTACAGTCCTCTAAAGATTCTGAGATTGGAGGCTCCCTGAGTTGTCCATGGTTTCTTTATGTTTAGTGACTTGCGATGGATTTCTTGTCTATCTACTTTTTCTATCTTGCCTTGGACTCCTGTAATTTTTGTTGATTTTTCTTTGTCCTTTCTGTTAGAAAAGGGAACGCTTCTTTAACCTGATGGGAAGTTATGAATGTATGTGTGGTCTGGCACGTGAACATGTGTACCGTCTCAGGTGGGAATTCTGCCCCATTAGATGTGTCTTGTCTATAATTCTGTCCCTGTAACAGTGTTACTCCTAGAGTCTCTTTCTTGGGACTAACTGGGGCCCCTCTGCTGGGTACTTTGATCTGTGGGAGCCCAAATGTGTTGCCTTCTCAATCGTTGCTCATTGAGAAGTAATGGAAAATTGTCCACAGAGTCATGACTACGATGGGGCAGGGGAAGAAAAAGGAAATGCAGGTGACAGAAACCTGTGTTCGCCAGCAAACTAAACACTGATTGGGTCGGGACAGAGCTTGTGGTATCGGTGTATCTCCTTCACCCCTCAGATAGCCAGGGTTATTGAAACCTGTAGTGATTGTATCTCTCTGCTTCAGCAGACTGGTAACATAGAAGGCAGGTGCTGCTGCATCCCACCTGTTGAGAAACCAAGAAATCACTTCCCTGCTGAAAAAGTGAGAGAGGGGAAAGGATGCCCTGGGTTACCCAGACTTCCTTGCACCTGTGTCCTGGGATTTAAAATTTGCTGGGCCTTTGGTCCTCTTCTTCCTCATGGCTCTGGCACTGCCAGCAGAACCTGCTGTCCTTTTTTTTTCCCTTTTCTACAGCGGTTCCCAAATTACTCTGTCTTCCTGCTCTAGCTTGTTTGCTTCTGCCAGACTGTCCTGAAACATAAAGGTTTCCTTGACCCATGTAAGCCCCATTACAGAGTTGTTCTGTTCTTCCACTGCATTGCAATCTCCAGTTCTGCAGCGAGGCTTAATGGATGATTATCTCACAAGTTTGGCTGTAATTGAGAAGAAAGTTTATAGCTTTGGGCTTAATAACTTGCCCAGGTGTGGCAGAAAGGGGAAGGTGAGTCTGTAGCTCCACTAATGGCAGATTTCATGTCAGGGCTTGCTGCTCAGTAGACACAGCTGCAGGATTTTTGTTGACGTAATCTTCACTTGTCTCTGGAGCTCAGAGAAATTCCCAGTGTTGTCAGGAAATATTCGGGATTGCACCATTGGAAGCACAAAGGGTGAGGGCTCTCACTCTGAGTGTCCTGAGATGAGGATAGATCAAGAATAAGCAAGTTAAAACTAATTTGCTGTGAGATACGTTAGCTCCTTATTCCTTGCAGAAAGTGTTTCCACTGTTGTTTCTTGTTTTGTTTTTTTTTTTCTTGGAACTGCTGGTTAAACTGTCTGGGGCGGGGTGGGTTCACATGTGTGAAACACCGTGTACTTGATAGCAACATGAAGATTTCTCTCTTGTCACTCAGGAGAAGGGCAGAGCTTTCAGCAGCAGAAGCTTCTGGGTCTCTGGGTGATCATTGGTTTCCTGACCTTCCTGGTGCTAGAGAAGATCTTCTTAGAGAAAGAAGAGAAGGAGTGCCCTGGTGTGGTAAGTTAGCAGCCAGAGGGGAGGGAGTGCTGTTATATTTGGAACACTGTACTAAACACCTCATCTTCCCTATCTGACAGTCTCAGCAAATGATCCTGAAGCTGGAGTAGCTTGTCAGTGCTCTTTGGGAGCTTTTTGCCACTTCTTTGACAGTGGGTTCTAGAAGGTGTTTGATCTCCAGGCTTTGGTTTTGTGGTTTTAGTTGAGATTTCTCACCTCTGGCTGGTTTTGTTCTTGATGTGGTATGTGTTAAAGAGATCTGCCCTTTTATGGGGACCGGTTGCTGGAGCGCTCTGCAGATGAGACTCTTGCTCAAGTAAGGTTTGAGGGATGACAGCTTGCTGATGCATGTTCCACTGAGCCATCGTGACTCATTCCCGTTTTGGGTCCTCAGTCAGGACAAAGACCAGCCTTCTCTGGAAGATGTTCCTCACTGCCCACTCTTCTTGGGTACAACCTGGACCAGGTGTTTGTTCGGGTAACTTTGTGTGGTAGACAGGGTTTATGGTAGTACTAAGTAATGGTTCAGAGGAGAGTCACCCAGCTGCAAAGGGGCAGCGTAGACAGAGGTACCAGAAGGTAATTCCAAGATAGAGGAGAGGAGCTAGTCCTCAGACATCTGCGCAACTCCTGTAGACTGTTCAGTCCTCGCTGTGCTATGACTTTTCAGAGGTGAAACTGCAGGTCAGACGCTGCATAAGAGCAATTAGGTGTTACTTTGACTCACCATGAGATTTTAAAGTCTGAAAGGAACTTAATCTCATTTATAGAGAGACTGAAGTCTGAGCAATCCCAGCTATAGAATAATTCTCTAGACTTATTCTCATGCACTGGGGTGAGCAAGACTCTTTTTTTACCCCTATTCCTTGCCCAGACAGAGTTGTATTTCTGTGGGCAGCAGCTGCCAGAAGGATCAGTCCCTTGTCTTTCCAGTGGAACCTGGCTCATGCCAAGGGGGTGAGACTCCAATTCCTCCTCTATCTTTCTGCTTTCCTCCTCTTGGTGATTGGGGAAGTCTTTGTTCTTGTTGTCTCACAGTGCAGATGTCACAGCGCTCTCTGAAATCTGTCTCATTTCTTGCAGTTGTCATTATTAAACTGGGTACCAAAGCTGGTGATTGTAAGGACAAAAGGATTAAGGGTGAAGATTGGATTTCTGACCCTGATTCATGCTCGTTCATCACTGACAGATAAAAAGGCATTGACAAGTTGTTTTCCCCTAATTTAGGACTGTGATTCCAAAGCACCAGCTGGAAAGATTCCTAATGGAAGTGGCTACCCGGCACGGAAGGTGGGAAGCCAATCTCAAAGAGCAGGAACAGGTTCAACTCAATGTAATGGCTCTTCTCTCCAGTCTTGTCCAACGGACAACAGAATCAAGGTAAGAGAACCACAAACTGACCTTTGCATCTTATGTTTTTGGGCCACGTATTAAAATTCAGTCAGGAGGATGAGTTGTCTGTGGAAAGAACTGTGCCTCACTGAGAAAGTCAGTGTTTGAATGAGTTGTGTTTAATTTTGCTCTGTCAAAGTATCTGCTCAAGTCACAGCAGGGAGGAAATAGTGGACTTGGAGAAAATCTGCATTGCAGCTTATGCAAAAGAGGCAAAGCCACTATTGTGAAGGCATAAGTCTGATGTGCATTTTGGCTGAATCCTGAGACCAAAGTACAGTACCTTCCACATTTTGTTACTCTGTATCTTATAGTCGTTATATCTTTATTTGCTTAAATTTTTGTGTCATGATTTCTCTTGTGCCTGCATTGTACCAGTTGTCAGCTGCACATTTCCTTTTGAGGCACCTTTTGGAAGCGTTTTGACAGTTGAAGCTATCCACTGTAAAACTGAGAAGTTCAGTGTCTCAGATTAGCAGTTTATCTGCTGCCAAAAAGGGCTTCTTGTCCACTTCTGCTTCCAATCCTGTATTTCCCATCACTTCCTTTGCACTGGACCTCATCTGACCCCACAGTTGAGCCTATTTAAGAGCTAAACAGGCAAAGAATTTGCTTTTTCTTTTCTTTTTTTTTTTTTTTCTTTTTCCCCATAGATTTATTTCTCTCCTAACTTAACTTCTTGAATCAGCTTGATGTTTAGACAGGCAGCCTGTAGTGGTGGGATAAGGGAGATCAGCAAGCTCATAGTATTGGAGGTAGAAGAGGGAAAAGGAGTACTGTATCATTGGGCAGTGGCTGACCTTTAGATTGGCTTTGCTTTCAGTTTTATGTTACTATCTTTGCACTGCAGAAACCCCTGTTTGGGTGAACATTGGAAGCAAAAGAGTAAACGACCGCTTTGGCAAAGGAGGACCTATAATTTGAGAGCCCATAAAAATGTGCAAGACTGTAGGAGAGTAACTATGAACAGAAAGTGTGGTTGCATGAACTAGTCCAAACCAGGATATATGGTCAGTCAGAGGCTCTTCAGTCTTTCTATTTTAAATCTGTTTTGCTGTAACATTACAGTTACTACACAATGTGAAAGATATGCTGAGGTCACCGGGTATTTTTGATATCTGTCACATTTGTGTAATCTGTACAGAACACTGCACAAATGGCGAGGTGCTGCATTGGTGTCTCTAGAGTGGTGAAGAAACCAATATTACTGGGTTATGAAACATTGTGCCATTATTTTGGAAAGGTTTATATAAGGAACTACGGACTTAGAGGATGGTTAGTCTACCACTGATTTCAAGTAGAAATGAAACACTGATGTGGAACACAATTGCTCAGGGCCTGGTTCTAATATAAAAAATAATAATGTAATTAATGCTAATTGATATGATCTTACAGAATATAAATTCTCATCAACCAAGCATTTTTTCCCTGCCTTTTATTTGGTCATAAGATTGTTTGATAAAGGTAACGACACTGGCAAATGTAAATAAAATGTAACTTTCTCCCACGTTCTAATAAGGCTAGTACTGCATGAAATCAGCCTGGCTAATATTAGCTGTATTAAAAATCAATTATTCTATATTATCAACAGGGACTGGATTAATGCAGCCCCCCTCAAATCTGTTCACTGGTGCTTTATGATTATTTATAAAAACAGTTTGTATTCGCATTTTAGGCACTACTGTATTACTTAAATGGCACATTGTGACTGCATGAGGTCAGTGATACCAGCTAAACTGAGTAACTTCATCAAAAGAGCTGAATTTTTAACATGTTTTGATACATGCAAATATTAAGGAATAGATTAAGAAAGAATGCAGATCATATTTACAAGATACAGACAGTTTCTAGGAAGTCAATGCCTTGGAAAAAGGTGTGAGAATCACAGTAGGAAATTGTTTGAACGCATTCTTCCATTATGATGCTGCAGCCAGGAGGATGGGTGAGTAGGAAATAGAATGTAAGAGAAGAGGCAAGTGTTCCTCTTTCTATAGCAGTAATGAAACAGCTATCTGACTTTTTCCAGTGGTGGTGTTCACGATATCCAAAATACTACTGATAATTTGTAAAGATATCGGGAAAGAGCTGAAATAATTATTTTAGGTGTGCAGTACATGATAAGTGATTTTCTTAAGTCATTAGCTCTGTAGACATGTCAGATCAGGGGTGACTTAAAGTATACAAATATGCATGTAAGAGGCATGACTAAATTTGAGTAGTTAAAGCTATACAAACAGTGGAAGTCTAGAAATCAAAGACAACTCTGTAATTGAGGGCAACTTGCCAGTGGACCAACTTTACCTTAGAGATGTGGTACATTCTTTGTCACTTGGGGGCTCTAAGCTGTGATTTAAGCTGCTTTCTACAAGGTATGCTGTAGCTTAGAAACAATGGGCTTCATGCAGAAATTGAACAAGATTCTTTCAGTTGTGTTGTGTAGAAGAATTTTAAAGCTAGAAGGGCTCTCCATGGTTTTCTAGACCTAACACATCTGTTCAGTCTTACAGACTGTTGTCAATATGCATGAAGTAGAAACTAATGAGTTACCGTGTGTAGTTTTAACTTTCTACCTTCTGAGCCATATAATCTGAATATTTTAATAGTCTTTCTCATTGGGGGGAAACTACCAAAACTACCAAGATATTCCTGTGTTGTTAGCTGGTTTCCTTAGGCAACAACATAAGCAGTCACTCCATCTGTCTGTCCATCTGTTCTGTCCTTCATTTTCAACAACTTTTGAACTTGTAATTAATTCTATTCAAGTTCAAGAGAGGATAGAAGTCTTGAGGGTAATCAGATTTCTGCAAGTTCCATAAAAATCAGCATGGCGGTAGAGGAGGAATGCAAACTAATGCCCTCTTGAAAAACTCTGGCAGAACCTAGATGTTGCATGCTGCTTGGCAGGTCCACCTGGTTGGCAGAGCAGCCTGTAAGTCTCACTGCCCCAACCTGGTGGGGAAGTGGCTGCCATGCAGTGCGGAGTGGGGAAGGGACATGCAGGGAAACAGCGTTGCTGGAAGTGAGCAAAGTAGGTGCTTGCAAAGAAAAGAGGGAAAGGCATAGCAAGCCAGACTTCTTTGGTTCTACTATTCACTCAGTAACCATCTTTTTTTTTTTTTTTTTTTTTTTTTTTTTTTTTTTTTTTTCCCCCCTCCAGAAAACAAAAAGGGAAAGATACTATTTGAACAAACAAACAAAGTCACCCTTCAGGGCTTAATGATTAGTAAGCTGTAATGGGTCATCCCTTGTCCACATATATTAGAACTTCTGCTCATTAGCTTCTGCTGTAGTAATTTGTCCTAAAATGAAAACTGCAGGTGGGAGGCTTCCTTTGCACCCAAACATAGATCAGTTCTGGCTGCATTGCAGCCTTTATTCCCTCAACAAGTAAAAACATTGCAGAGTACTTTTGCCTTCCTTATTCTTTCTTTTTCCCTGTGGCACATGGGGTCCTTGCTGATTTGTAGAAGTACATTTTATTGCATAGTGACATTAATTCTGAAGCGTGAACATAAACACTTCATCTGGCTGTGCTCTTTATGAGCAACAAGAACATCCTATTAGGAATTCGCAGAATGTAAATGTCAGAGGCTCATAACTGTCAAATCAACCCAATTTATTCCTGAGCACTCCAAGGCTTTGCTTCTTTCGGTGACAGCTTTTGCCCAAGCCACTGACAAGTAAAAGTCATAATGTTTTAATCATGAAGTCTATTTTTTCCCTATACAGTGGTATGGGAAAGGATTTTTGTGTAAAAGTCATGTGAATAATTATTATTAGCCTTCAGGGAAAACACAATCACATGAAATCTGGACATGAAAAGGAGAAGATTTAGACAGTCGTATTTGACTGAAAATGAGGAATGAGAAGTAAAACTGCTGTGTTCATGGGTCTGCCTATATGCATCCCTTTGTGTTCCCCTTCTTACAAAAACATGCAGGGAGCTTTTGCATCCATTGTGGAGATGTTACTAGATTATTACTTAAACATGATCTGTAGTTAGGCTTTGCTTAATTCTTAATTTTTGCATTTAATGATCAACGCAATTTTAAAAGTTTAGAGCCTATGAAGATGTCCTGAGATTGTGCAGTAGAAGTGCCCTGCAGAAAGGTGGTGCTTTGGAGACAGAGACTTGAGAGAAAGCCCCACCTGACCTGTGGCATACACATGGCAGGAAGAAAAGATGTCCCAAGAAGATTTTGATAGAAGCAGGGAAGAGCAGAAGACCAAAAAAGGCTCATGAAACCCATCAACAATTGTGTTTTTCCAGATGAACTTTGGCACCTGATGCTGTGGTGAAATAAGAGATTAATGTCTTGCAGTTTCTAGACAGTCTCTCTACTTGCTGGATGCTGCCCTATATCTGGAGTTAATGTGTGCCAGCTTAGTTCTTAGTCCAGAGACAGCCTGATCTATTAGCTAACATCTGGTTTGATCGTAATTTATACTTCAGTGCCATATCATGAACTGCAGTACCTCAGGACCCATGTGCATGTTTTTGTTAAATCTAATGGAAAAAAAACCAAAAACCTGTGAGCAAAAGAGCTGGGGTGGTACCCTCATAAATCACTTTAAGTCAAATAGTCGGAATTTGTCTGGAGATGACTGTAGTTAGCATGATAGGAAAGTCTAACATGGAGATGGACTTGCAAGGAAGGAAGCTGCTTTATGCTTATAATTTTAAGAATTGTGTTTGTATGCAAATGCATATACATGCTATCCAGCCTTCTAGTAGGTGTTTTTTTGGTGACTGTCATCACTGTCTTCTCTTTTTTTTTTGTTAAGGGAAAGCAAACCCACAAGCACAAGCTTTTTTAGTACAATGCTTAAAGATTGTTTAGTTATAAAAAGCAATTTCGGCAACATTTGTTCTGCTGCATTGTTCTTGCCAGCTTTTCAAGAGGAGATATTTAAGAGTTGGATGTTAAAGTACATGTCTGGAAAACAAGGTCAGGTCATATTTGAAGCCAGTCACCTATGTAAATTAGTCAGTGTTACCTAAAATTGGTTTGATTTAGAATCAGATTTGCATTATATCCTTGCATTTTGGCTTTCTTCTTTTTCCTTTCCCTTTTTCTGTTTCTAGAGCTCTTTGTCATTTGCATAAGATGATTATCCTAATCTCAGACGATACTTGCCAACCCTAAAACTTAGTTCACTCTAAAACTAAGCATAACATTTGATTTGTACTTGAGCACTGACATAGTTTAAGATCTTCACCAGAAGTGCTATGTCCTGACCTTTCCCATCTGATCGTGACTCTGTATAACCTGTGTCCAAGCCGTGTGCTCTCTTTTATCTAGTTATGTCTCTTCCTTTATCAGGGTCTCTTCCTTCTCTTTGCAGATTAGTGGATACCTCAATCTGCTGGCCAACACCATTGATAACTTTACGCATGGGCTGGCCGTAGCAGCCAGCTTCCTGGTTAGCAGAAAGGTAAGGTTTCTGCCACCAGCTGTGTAGTCAACTGGAAAGGCCTGTTCTCGTGTGATGCAACATGCAAAAAAAGCAAATATGTGAGGAGTTCCCTCCTATTTTCTGGGAGTTTCTGAGAAAATGGAGACTACAGTAAAAAGCAACCCTATCCTGACACTCTGATGCAGAGCTTCTTCAAACCTGGGACATGTTAGTCATTTGTACTGGCATTAAGGGAAGGGTTAGCTCATATACCCTTTTGTTGAATAGTTCTAAACTCTGAGTAACAAGTCTTAACTTGGGGAAAGGGGCCTTGACATGCTGATGAAAGTCTCATCTCTCAGAGCTGGGGGACTGTTTCCTAATTACCTTCTCTCCTCTGCTACAGGTTGGGTTCCTAACCACAATGGCCATTCTCCTGCACGAAATCCCACATGAGGTGAGAGGGCTTTGTATTCTGCCATCATGAGGGCTTACAAGGGTGTTTCACCTACACAGAGGAGGGCTCAGTCTGGTTAACATTTTCTTGCCCCTTTGAAAGCTGTTCCCTGTGGGAGACTGGCAACATGGAAAACTAGAAGCAGTTTTGAAGCACTAGTCTTGTTCCTCATGGCCTTTGTGACTGAGAACATTCATATTCATTAACTGTCAGCTCTTGGTTTTCTTAGGTTGGAGACTTTGCAATCCTACTTCGGGCTGGCTTTGATCGCTGGAGTGCAGCCAAGATGCAGCTTTCCACAGCTCTGGGGGGGATTCTAGGAGCCTGCTTTGCAATATGTGCTCAGTCACCAAAAGGAGCAGGTAAGGCTCCCTGGGACCCCTGTAGGAATAGGGGGGGAGGGAGGGGGCGCTATCGTTCCCATGTGTGTATCTTCCTTCCCTTCTCTGTTCTCTCCTATGGCTTTGTCTCAGTAATAAGAAAAGCTTTCTGTATTTGTGCAGGGGAAACGGTAGCCTGGATCCTCCCTTTCACTTCTGGAGGATTTCTGTATATTGCCTTGGTAAATGTTGTGCCTGATCTCCTGGAGGAAAAGAATCCTTGGTAAGTGCTCCCTCCTGTTCTGCTGCAGCAGTTCTTGCTGCCAGGAAGCAGGGATATAACCCTTCCCCGTGCCTGTTCTGGGAGCACATGAATGCCAGCTTTCCAAATCCCATGGGCATGGCTGGAATCTGGATAGACTGCAGTGCTAGCTGCTGTGTTTATGGGGCTACAAAGACCCTATAAAACATGAGAACTTTCAACTGGGTCAGTCCCAAAGATTGCAGTACCACAGTATGTAGCATAACCAGCTAGAGCAGGTTGCTCAGAGACATGTCCAGTAAGGTCACCCATTCCCAATCTGTCTTGTCAGCTTCTGGCATGTACTGGTTTAGGGACTGTCTTAACCAGGGCCCCATAGTGGGGTGTGTGTCTGATAACCACATGTGAAGCTATCCTTCACATGCTTCTCTCATCCCTTTTTGATCCTGTCCATTATTTTGGGCTTCTGCAATCTCTCTTTTGGCAGCAAGTTTGCGTAGTTTGACTGCACTGTGTTAAATGATGCTTCCTATTATTTGTTTTTTAGCTTCTTGCTTATTAATTTTGTTTAGAATCATAGAATATTTTGGGTTGGAAGGGACCCCTAGAGGTCATCTAGTCCAACCCCCCTGCAGTGAGCAGGGACACCGCTAACTAGATCAGGTTGCTCAGAGCCCCATCCAACCTGGCCTTGAATGTTCCAGGGATGGGGCCTCCACTACCTCTCTGGGCAACCTGTTCCAGTGTTTCACCACCCTCATTGTAAAGAATTTCTTCCTTATATCTAGTCTAAACTTACCCTGGTTTAGTTTAAAACCATTACCCCTTGTCCTGACACAGCTGGCCCTACTAAAAAGATTTTCCCCATCTTTCCTATAGGCCCCCTTTAGGTACTGAAAGGCCGCAATCAGGTCTCCCGACAGCCTTCTCTTCTCCAGGCTGAACAAGCCCA